CTCTCAGCCCTGAGCCCCTTCGCCTTCCTCTGTCTCCAACACCAAACCCTAACCCTAACCCTAACCAGAACCCGAATCTGGCGAGCTCGAGAGAAAAGCCAATGGCCAGGAGAACTACATAGAAATCAAAGACGGAGAGGGTTACAGAAAAAGAAGGGGTCAAAATAGGGAAGCGAATGGGAGCTCCGAAGCAAAAATGGACGTCGGAGGAAGAGGAAGCTCTTCGAGCTGGCGTCGACAAGCACGGAGCAGGGAAATGGCGGACCATTCAGAAAGACCCCGAGTTCAGCCATTGCCTCGCTACTCGCTCCAACATCGACCTCAAAGTTAGAATCTTTCTCTCTCTTTTGCTCTCTTCGGTTTCTAGGGCTTATCAGATTGTGATAAAGTTTGAGTTCTTTCCCCTTACTATTCTTGAAATTAGAATGAGGGATCGCCTCTCATTGACGTTCCTTCAATTGGTTTGCAGCCAATTGGTTCTGTAATCTCCTTCTTGATCAAGTTCGATCACTTGTTGCATCTACCGTATTTCTTTCTAATTTTCTGAAATCATGTTATCGTTGTTATTCTCAATGAGGCCTCTCCTTGAAGCGATAGGTCGTCAAGGAATTGTTCATTTATGTTGAAATCTTGCGTGGTAAACTTTCTATTTTGCTTCAATTTCTTGAAGAATGTTTCTGTTGGTGTTGTGCATTGAAACATTAGACAATTTTGCTTCTGTTAGTATTGTTGAAGGTTTAGAAATGATGAAATTGATGAATGGTTTCATCAATAGAGGTTCTTGGGCCTTGATATTCCCAATTTCTCATCTGTATTGATTGTTGCCTGCTTCACAAGATCATGTGTTGTGTGTTCTGTTTGAACTAATTGGATTTTATTTAGAGATCGTTGGCACAATAAGATTTTTGTTTGTTTTATTTAATTTTCTCATTAACATGCTAGTCCTTTGCTAGATTTGTTGCATTCATAACTTTGTAAAACTTGTATGCTGATTCTTTTAGATTTTTTCTCTCTCTTTTGTTCTTAAGAGGCAGTTGCTTATGTTGGCTGAACAGTGGCGGTAATATGACGGACCTATCTTTATTCTGCACGAGTTTCTGGTTTATCTGTGCTTATACTATTTTCTTTGACTTTCAGGACAAATGGAGAAATATGAGTGTCAGTTTCAGCGGCCAGGGCTCTAGGGAAAAGTCGAGAACACCTAAACCAAAGGCTCTTCCACCAGTTCCTGTGTCTAGCTCAGGCCCTCCTGCATTAACCTTGCCAAAAGATGATGGAGTGTCAGTTGCCTTGGATGTCACAGGGAACTCACAAGATGGAAAAATTCCAGGGTGTGTCTCACCCCTCTTTATCTATTTCATTGGATAGTGTCTAATCAAATCTCTTAAAGTAAGCATCATTTTTGCAACAAATGCATGAAATTCCTAAACTTTAGTTCAAGGGTGGCTGAGAACTGAGCTAAACAAAAAGAAATAAGGAATGATTTGATGTAACAAAAGATATAAATTCTTTTTGGTTAATTTAGCCAAAGTTAGATGGTATTATATCTTATGTGTGACACCAAGGTGCTTGACTATCAAATACACTCATACAGTAGAAAGATGCTTTATTCTTTTGGAAGAAAACTGGCAAAATTTAGACAAACCACCTTTTACTAAAAAGGGAAGAGGTGGTAGATGAATCTTTGCTTTCTCAGGCGTATTCTTCTGGCAAGCATAGATCACTGATGCAACCTTGCTCTTTGTTTACCTTTTATATAACTACAGATATAAAAACACCATAATCCTATATGACATTGTGAACAACAAGCATCTATCTGCAAGTCATTTCAAGGTAGTGTTTCTCCGTTGTGTAATCAATTACTGGTAGTAAAAGCTGACTTTGTTTTTACTAAGTAAACATAACTTTAGGAAAACTGATGGTTACTAATGAGGTAACGTTTATTTTTATTTGCTCAATGTTTTTTACAATCATTTCACGAATTGTGATAATCCTTGGAAAATTGTAAAAAGAACACACTTAGTATAAAGCTTTGCTTACTTCCAGACAATAAATTATATTGAAAGAAACATTCTTGGGAGACAGAATATTTCACGTAAATACATGAGATAAAGGTCTAGGCCAATATTCATTTGAATACAATCTTTGCAAGATGCACAAAATGGAAGATTGACATATGCACATTGTTTTTGGAAGCTACTGAGTTCACAAACCTCATTCTTATTATGATATACATAGATATGAATATGTGATCCCATTCATCTGTATGGGCTATATTGCTTGTACTTTTGTGTAAAGATAAGCTAAATATTGTTTATAAAATGAGTTAAATACGTCCAACAAAATTTTCTTTTAACTAGCATAAAACTAGGGACAAATTTTATTTGTTGGTTTCCTAAAACTGGTGACCAATTGAGTCATTCTTCAATTTAAAAATCTTTTACGGATCATGTCTACGTTCCATGTATTCAAGTACTTGCTATGATACTAGTAGAAGACAGACATGGTTGTCGCTGTTCATGCTAGTATTTGTGCCTATGTTTGATTACATCTTTTGTGTACGCTACTCTCTCATTTTTCTCTTTTGTTTTATTGTGGGATGTAATTTGCTGTATTATACCTGATTGCAATTACTTTTTTGAGTGACCATGTTCTATTAGTGATTAATGACGCAGTTATTCCGATTATGGATGCATGCCTATTTTATCTTAAGGAATTTTCTTTTTACTCTTGGCAGTACTTGTTTCTACGATAATTATGTTGATGTCGTCTGTCTTTGGCTTGTGTACCAGGTACAGTGCGTTGATAATTGAAGCTCTTACAGTATTGAAAGAACCTAATGCTTCAGAGATTGAAATTGGTGCGATTTGCAGCTATATTGAGGTAGCTCCATGTTATTATCATCTTTCTGTTGAAATACATATGCACATATACAATTGCACACAAACAAAACATCATTCTTATTGAAGTATATGCTTCCAAGCACATTGTTTGTGTGTGCAATGCTTGCTGGCTTGTGTGTGTGCGCGTGCGCATGCAAATCCATATTGAGGCATATGGCATTGCTTAGATGCGAGTTCACTGGGTCAAAATCTAGCTTTCTATATTTGTGAATCATTATATTTAAGTTAATATAGTTGACGAAAAGATGCAATTATAGAGGTGATGAGGCACTATGTTTTGGACTCATTTTCTTCTTTTTGAAATAATTTTGGTGAATCTCTTAAGTGCAAGGCATACATGATTTTGTGTTTTTCTGCATCAGTTGTTTAGTAATGAATAACTTGTGTTTCCTAGACTTGAAACTTGATCATGAGTGCAGCGGAACATTAACGCTTCGTGCCATTCAAGTGACATGGGGTTAGAATCCTGTGCACACCCAGTCATGACAATTCTACTAAAAGAATAGTAATGAGAAAAGGGAAAAGTGGAGTAGCTTGATATTTGTGGAGGAATTACTATCCTATAACTTCTGGCCTTTGTAAAACCAGATTGGTGGGCATGATCTGCTTTCTTTCTATTATGATAGTATAATTTGAGACAACTTTGTTTCTTCTTTGTGATTTTTGAGGATGTTTTTGGGACACTATACCTGTTACATATGTAGATAAAATCTTCAATCGTACGATGGCTAGTTATTTGGAATAAGCTGAACGGAATCTCAGTGAAGTTAAGGATCTGAGAATTTGTTGAAACTATGGCAGTTTATTCAAAACGTTGTCTTAAGGGAGTTCAGCTGGTCATCCCCACTCTACATTGACTTACATATTACAATTTAGAAGAACTAATAAAGGTGTTCAGTGTTCTAAATAAATCATTGACTGTCTAAGAGAAGCAAAAACCTGTTTTTTGTTACGTTGTAAAATCATAAGATTTTGTTTATATTGTTTCATCATAATTCCATTTACTGAAAATTTCTTTTAATAGTTTGTTGGAGAATAAACACGTGTTTTACTTTAGAAGCTATGGAAGCAAGCAACGTAAACTTAGTTCCTTGCACGACTGTTAGCAAGTTCATTTGGAGATGTGTTGAAAAGGATGGTTATGAACTTTTTTTCTGTATATAATGAAGATAATATACTGCACATTTTGGGATTGTATTTAAAGTTGTTGGTAGAACAACCTGAAGAAGATGGGTTTGAAGGGAGGACTCTGTTAAGTGAAGATTTATAACAGGACATCCTTGTTTACAGCCATTATCCCTATATTCAAAGTGTTTTTTATAACAATATTGTAGACATTATTAGGATTTAAAAGTCATGGGCTCATTTCTGCACTTCTACAAAATATTTATGTTATCATCATCTTGTATCAGTTATATATTCTGGAATTATATGCACTAAATATTCTACTTGGGCATCAAAAACATTGTTGGCATTAGGGGTGAGTAAACGGTCTGTTGGGTTGATTTTAGCAATTTTTAATTAAACAAAACTGAACCAAAAGAAATCTTGCACTGAACCGAAACCAAAATATTTCGGTTCGGTCGGTCAGTTCATTCAGTTTCGTTTAATGTGCTCAACCATAAAGTATGGCCAGTCAAAAGCCGCTTTAACCATGACATGAAACCGATAAAAGCTTGCACAGAATCCGAGTTGAAAGCAACCTCCAGCCTCCAAACTCTTTCAGAACTTGAAGCTTCATTAATGCCTTCTAGAGAAAGACCCTAGGGGTCCAGCTGTTCCCATTTAAGTTTTGAGTAAAATAGGATTTGGGATTTTGTTTTTTCGCTGTTTAAAGATTATTACATCTTCCACCTATCTAAGCTTTCCCACGATCTCGCCGCTGCACATTGCTAGAAGCCATCATTGTCTTCTGCTTGATTGCCTCTATCAATTCCATTGTTCTTCCCATTAATTTCGGTGGGCTCGGTATGTGGAGAGTGAAAAATTCCCAACCCGAACTCAACTGTGTATAGCACAAAACCGAACAGAACCATGAAAATTCAATCTGTTCGGTTGGTTTTAGCAGTTTCAGCCGAAGTTTGCTCAGTCCTAGTAGACATATGCAAAATGTTCCCTATTTTATGCCTAAAATCCTAAAAGGTTTTATATCGCTTTTACTTGCATTCAAATAATTTCTGTTTCTGTATGGTATGTTCACTTTATCCATATTTCTTGTTGTATCCAGCAAAGGCATGAGGTGCCAGCTAACTTCAGAAGATTGCTCACTTCTAAGCTGAGACGGCTTCATAAGCAGAATAAAATAGAAAAGGTGAGTAGTGTTTCTCATGCAACAGAACAGAAGCTTCTTGTTTGAAGCTACTAATGCTATTTAGTAATTTTTGTACATCCTTGTCTTTGCAGTTACTTGACAATCGATATTCAAATAGTAATGATTCATTTTGATAGATTGAATCATGGAGAATTCAATGTTTCTAATCTCAGATTAATTGCTGCATCTTTGTGTAGATCCATATCATCTCTGTGGCCGTACCTCTTGCTTCATAGCTATATACATGTCCTTAATGCACAAGGTTCCCAAAACATGTGAAATTTTATGAGATATAAATAAAGTGGAACTCACTGCAGAGCTCCAATATAATGATGGAAGATCTTAAGTTAAGGCCAGTATATGGATTCTGTGCTTATAGAAGAAAGTTTCAAGAAGATTAACGGGGATGGTTCCAGTTTAGGTAATAATTGAAGAGATGGAAGTTAAGTTTAACCGTGACGTCAGGTAAACTTTTCTAAATGGTATTAAATATGTAACCTGGTATACTTGTCATAGTATTTACTAATATAAATCCTTAACTAAGGTTAAGGACAAGAAAGGAGGCAAGACGAGCAGTGGAATCATCACATGGTGCTGCCGAAGCCAAAGATTCGAAATTATCTGTATACTTATAAAACAAGTTTGGCTTAAAAATCTATAATTAAAATACATGTAGAAAATTTAGGGTTCACATCTTAAATAGGGAATATATTTCTCTGAGTCTCGTACTCGGGTCACTCCTATGTGTATTTTTAGTGTTTTTCCCCTTTTCCTTTTCCTTCCAAAATGTTGCAGAGATAAAATACTAATAGTTTCTTACTCTTGTAAGGTTGCAGTACGCTCTGATGATAAACAATACCATATCCTCATTAGGTGTAGTAGCGATACAATAAATCCTGTGCTTGGAACCTAAATTTCATGGAATGTTACTTGGACATGGTAGTTCCTAGACCAACTTCATGTTAACACATCCCTGTTAACAATCTGCATCAGTACTTGCATTGTGTACAAAAGATCTGGAAAAAACCCCTACCATACTGCATTTAGAACAGTGATTTTTTCTTTTAAAAATGGAGTGAAAATGATTAAGAAGATGCTACTGAAAGATGAATTTAGCAACCTTGTAATTGATGGCATTTCATGTGTTAATATTTTGTCAGTTGTCACATCTTTACTGTTTTCTTTGCGAAAAGAGCGTAGTTAGATAGTCATTACATTTATTATTTGTAAAGTTTAGGTGCTTCAGTGATTACTCTTGACAGTTGACACCATGCTTAGCTAAACACGCAAGTGAGAATTTGTAGCAGATCAATTACAAAATCTGTGCTTTTAGCTTCTGCATCTTTTTATGCAGTTAATGTACCATACGCAATACTTGACAGATAATACTTCTTAGTGCATAATGTTAGTCTTTTCAGATGTTATTCTGATAATTTTTGGGGGGTAAAATTATACACTTCTTGAATACCCTTACCCACCTAAGAAGCATCTTGGATAATTTGCATTTAGCCTAGTTCACTGCTTCCCAATGTACTCCACTACTTTACCCTTTTTTTTTCATGTTTTCTTTGGTGGATTATGCATTGCAAACTTATAAATACTAACTACACTGCGCTGTTTTTAGGAAACCTTCTTTATGCAAGGTTCCTACTGATAACCGTCTAGAATGATTATTTCTTTTGTGGGGCTCATGTGAGTGTTTGTAATTTGTTGGGTGAACAGTTTACTTTTAGGTTGTCATTGATTTACTATATTGGCAGGCATCATCATCTACTGTATTCTACAATGAATTTTGTTATAGTGTTAGGGATTGCTGAACTGCAGGGACAGAAAGGATATAGGCTCAAAGACTCAACCTCTGCTACAAAAACTCCGACTCCAAAACAAAAGGACCCGAGCCAACGCTCAAGGGTGGTTCAGAGCTCTTCCAACTCAGCCGACAGTGTAGGGGAAGCTGCTGACACCATCGCATACAAAATCGCTGAGTCGGAGGCTAAATCATTTCTAGCGTCTGAAGCAGTCAAAGAGGCTGAAAGAATAGCTAGTATGCATGAGGAGGCTCAGTCTTTGCTGAAGCTGACAGAAGAGATATATGAGAGATGTAAGTAGACAATTAACCATTTCTCGCTCTTGTGAACATCTTTCTAATATCTTCTGGCGTTTGACACTATGTAGGTTTGCGAGGTGAAGTTGTGACCTTGGCGTAAAGTGAGTTTGGAGCATGGTGGATAGTTTCTTCAAGAAATGTGTCTCTTTATGATATATATCATTTGTAGATTAGGTAGATTTCTACCCTGTTTCCTGTTTCATCTTTATTTAGAGGATAAGTGGTCTGTATGTGTGTATGTGGGTGGAGGTTTGGGGTGGGCGGTTGTCACCCGTGTTGAGAAATCAAAAATCTCGATGTAAACGTTACTTTTATATACAAGGTCAACATGACCTTCCTTCGGTTTGCAGCTGGCATTGTGTTGTGAAGAATTCGAATCTTTTGTAGTGTATTTCTTGGTGTTATGGTGCCGGAATCAAGGCAATTATGACTATGTTGCTTCATTTCTAGCTCCGAGACTTCTCTTTGGGTTCAGCCGTCGGTCTAATGTTTTTTTTATATTTAAGAGGCTAGTGTTTTAATTTAATTTTTTTCTCCAAAAGGCTATGCCGACTCCTGAAGAGTCCTTCATCACCTCCGACCCTGACTTGCCACCACGCCTCCATCTCCAAAACGCTGGAAGTCGCCGCTGGACTTGGTAATCTTGGGATCTCTGTGAAGAATGTACACCTTTCTCTCTTCAAACAACGTTAATCTTCCCCTATCTTATCACTCCATGCTTTTTCTCGTCCCCTCAACCCTACTTCTTTACAAGAGTTTGTTGGGAGTTTTGCCCTGGTTAGTATGAATTTGTAGTTTAATTTGATTCTTTCCCTTAATTTGTGTCAATTTCGTTGTCCTACTTTTTTATTTTTCGGTCCCAAATGTTTAGGGGAGTTACTGATGGTTTTGATGTTAGTAGTTTATTGGGTTTGTTCTTGTTGGAGCTCGTTTGATTGTATGTATTTGGGTTGCTTCATATACGAATCAATTAATTGATTTCTTTTAATTTTTGTTTTATTCGAATCTTGGTTTGGGAAGAATTGTTGTTTAGCCCTTGAATTATTCGATCTGGTCTATAGTTCTAGAGGTTAAATCGTGGATAATTCGGAAGGGATATTGGAAATTTTAAATGAAATTAATATGATTCATATGAAAGATTTTTTGAGGTATAGTTATAAAACCTTTTACAGTCCTAAGTTTCCACATCCGGTGGTGGCGACGACGGCGACAATGACGGCGGTCACCCGCGGTCGCTTGCGACAATGGTTGGTGGTTGTAGCGAGCAGCGCTGGTGGTCAGTGGTTCAAGCTTGGTGGTAGGTTAGTAGCATGTGTTTCACAATGGGCCAAACTAGCATTTCGTCAAAAACTCACAATGATGTTTTTAAAACAACTTTGGAAAGAAAACATCATGTGACTGTGTTTTTATCCAAACATACCTAAGTGACTATCTAATGTTGACAGCAGGCAGTAATGTTTCTGTTGAAAATTTCAGCTTATTGACTTCTACCATTTTACTAAACAGTTCAGTTCAAAGAGAAGTGTAGGTTGGAGGCTCATCAATTTGTCATGATGCTGCAGAGAAATTTCTGGGATATTCAACATCTGATATGTAACATATTGCTGCATATTGTATATCACTCTGTAGAATGTTTCATTAGTAGAATGTTTCATTCACGAACGCAAAAATGGAAGTTTGATTGATGGCATTTTTCAGTTTACATTACTTGAGCTTTGTGAAGCACATTCATCTACTTACCTGGCGAGCAGAAGTTGAATTAGCAAATATCTGGATTTGGAGGGTAACTTTGCAAATATGGCGTGTAGGTAAAAAAGTTGAAATAACCATTTGTCAAATTGCACTTAAATGACCTGAAGTTTCAGGTTTATTTTACTTATATGACCTAACTTGTATAACATATCACTTGAATGACCCATCATACTCCCTTTAAAAGCACGAGTTCGGAAAAATCTTCTGTAGACAAAAATACCCTTATAAAGTTTGAACTATCTTATCTATAATCAAATTATAATTTTTAAATTTAATTTAATGATTTATTCTATGTGTTTGTTATGGTGGTTATATTTCTTATTTGATTAATAATATCTTCTGTTGCAAATCTCCGAAATCAATTTCTAATTTACCGTTAGACTCCAACAACATAATTGGGGATTTATTCTATGGGTTTGTTATGGTGGTTATATTTAATTATACGCAATTCAGAGGATTTGTGTTAAGTTAAGAAAGAAGTTAATTAGGGGATATCCTGTTTGTTTGTTAACAACGTTTCTAAAACAAAATTTTAGAAATTTTGTTTGTTTGTTAGGTTTTGAAAACAAAATCTTAGAAATCTTGTTTGTTTGTAGATAAAATAATAAAGTTTAAATAAGAATTTGCGGGCCTCACTCATTAGCAGTACCGTATATTAAATTTTGGAAGAAGCTACATGTATCATAATCGAGAATAAATTATGTAGCTTTGAAACATATTACTATCCTAATAACCGAGTTATTTTGATTATCAGAAGCACTATTATCTGAACTAATATTATCCCAACACTCCAATTTAAATCCTAATAAAACTCTTATTATGACTATTATCCTATCACATGCAACACCTCATGCCTATATCTAAACAAAGAAATTAGACAATTTTCATAGTAACTTCATCTCCTTCAACATGTATTTGATTTAATGGTGATATTTGTTTTACAATGCAATTACTTTTTATGGCAATTTAATTTTTTTAATATTTCTTCAACTTTCATGCAGAAGTTAGAGGGTTAAGGATTTGATTGTTGCACGTTCTCCCATCTATCAAGGTAAATCTTCATGTTTGATATTATTTTAATATAGATTTATTTGATTGTATATTTTATTTGATTAAACCGAAATAGAAAACAAATACCTTTCCTCTTCTTTATTTTTTATTTTTATTTTCTCGGTCACGTTTGGATCATAAGGAATTAAGAAAGATAACACATAGTACTATTGTTTCTTGTGATTTTTGGTGTTATTGAACTGTAACAGACTGATGGATTCAAAAATAAAATATCCTTACCAAAGAGAAACAATCAACAGTGACTACTAATAATCATTGGCGATTTGCTCTACGCAGCAATAATTAGAAGAGTGTTAGAAAATATTAAAAAAATTAATTAAAGAAATTTTGACCGCAACTCTACCAAATAAGAAAAGTACGAAGAGGATAGGATTTAACTTTTTCCTTTGATTTGTTTTGCTTGGAATAATCGGTGTTTCTTATAGAAAAAGTATATAAAAAATGTTACCATAACAACATAGCATACCTTCAATTATCTTTCCCTCTTCTCCTTAGTTTTTGAAATTTTGAAATCTCTAACAAACGCAATCAAGAAGATATTCAATATCTTACCATAATACCAGCAAATACCTAATACTTTTTCCACCTCTTATCCTCCATTCCTCATTGTACTGATCATATAGCAAGTTTCGACAATTTAAATAAATACAATTTATATAAGGAAGGAAATTTCTGATTTTATGGATATTAACAAAAATTTACAAAAAATAAATTTCTCTCCTCTCATAAGATTTTGAATTTCAAAATTAGTAGGATGATATAGAAAATCAAAAAAGTATATTTATGTAATCCACCTTTTTAAAGTCAGTGGGTTATAATATTTACAATGTATCCTGTTGGATTGCCACTAATCCACAAACTCCTGTCCTTGCAATTATTGGCATCGTTATAAAATCTTTTTATACTGGCTGGTTCTCATATTATGAGAAAATAAAATTCTAGATGTATAATTAATGTTGAAGCCTGTCAATTGACATGTTTACAAATTATCTTTTCCAAAATATTTCTTCCATTATACCAAAACCTTCAAGTTAATTAGAGGGGTATATTATTAACATTTCTAAAATATATGGTTATGATTTCATAAGGGTTTTAAGAGTAAACCATAAACTTCAGTTAGATGGTTCAATAAGCTAAGTCATATGCATATTTAAAATCGAACCATTTATCATACTTCTTTTAAAAACACGAGTTTTGAAAAATCTTTCGGTAGACAAAAATACTCCTATAAAGTTTGAACTATCCTATCACTAATCAAATTCTAATTTTTAAATTGTATTTAATGATTTATTCTAATCCAAATCAAATAAGTTCAAAGTTTGAACTATCCTAATCCTAATCAAATTCTAACTTTTAAATTGTATAACTATCCTAATCATAATCAAATTCAAAAATAATTTTTAGTTTGTTCCGCAAGAATTTGTTATGATGGTTATACAGCTGTTGCTACCAACAATTAAATGCAAGTTAGGATTTAAAAAATACAGCAATAGAATAATTAAATATTTAATATGGCTGTTGTTACGCCCATATTTAAACCGAAGGCATACCTTGATATTTAATTAAATAATAATTTCCAGCGATGACCATCTCTGGATTACATAATTTCAACTCAATTGGAGTGCAAAGTAGAAGAATAAACTCAATTGGCATACAACTCCAATAGAAGTGTGAAAGGGACAAAAGTGGCAACCCATGTCATGAATCGCTAAGTTGACCAGCTTGCACAACCTTACATCCTTTCTACTTTTTTTTAAACGATATAATGTATATTTATCATCTAAAGATGTCCTAAGTGCACTTGAAAACCGAAGGCATACTTTGATAAACATCTCTAAATTCAAAATAAATAATGAAACACAATCCTAATCAAATTCTAATTTTTATATTTTAAATGTTTGTACAAAGAGAACTTCAATTATGACTATTATCCTATCACACGTAACATCTCATGCCTATATATAAACCAAGAAATTACATAATTTTCATATTAACTTCATCTCCTTCAACATGTATCTTTTTTTTCATTTTCATAATTATTCTTTAGAAATGTTGTGCATTTGATTTAATAGTGATACTTGTTTTGCACTGCAATTAGTTTTTATGGCAATTGATATTTTTTTAAATTTCTTTAGTTTTCATGCAGTATTTAGAGGACTAAGAATTTGATTGTTGCAAGTTCTCCCATTTATCAAGGTAAATCTTCATATTTGATATTGTTTTAATTTGGGTTTATTTGATTATATATTTTATTTGATTAAATCGAATGTCGGCAAATCAGCCATTGCAAATTCTATGCATCAAGTTGGTAGGATAACCGCAAAAGGTGCTTTCTTGAGCTCTTCTGAAATTTGAGTATTAAGTTAATGACACTTTTGAGGGCTGTTGTATTAACTAAAAGAACTTCTCATCTGTTTCTTATTGTAAGAGAAAGGAAAATTGAAGCATGCGATAGTAAGCACATGCAGTCCGAAGAGACTAAAGATATCATTAGTTATGTGGTTTGTGGGTTCTCTTTACCACACTGTTGTTCATTGTGAACATGCATCATTATGCCCACAAACATTTTTATGCTTTAGGAATAGTAGTTTGATTTGCAGAGAAGATTGAGCATTCTAAATTTCTAATGGACATAATCACTTAGAATGCTTATTGTTCGTCAATATTCCCCTAAATCTTAGGTTTTAAAAGTTATAATCATGAAAATTCAATGGAATTTTTTGGAACCCTAGGTCTATTTAATCAGATTGTTAAAATATTAAATCATTGGAATCAAAAAGCTTCCATAGTGAATAAAATAACACTATTAATTAATAATAGATACTTTTTAACATAAACCTTGGTTTGAACAGATAGCCTTTAAAGATAGCATATGCTAGGTATTTTATAAAAAAAATCACATATATGACCAATGAAACATATGTAATTAGGGGCCTACAACATCATGCATGTAACAAAATATAAAGCTTTATCACAAAGCAAGAAAACACATACAAATGAAGTAGATTATCAATGATCTATATTTAATTATCATTTGCTTAAAGGTATCATTAACTTAATACTCAAATTTCAAAAGAGCTCAAGCGTTTGCACTTACCCTACCAACTTGATGCATATAATTTGCAATGGCTGATTTGCAAGTTAGGATTCTAAAAATACATCAACAGAACTTTAGTTCATAATGATATTGCTATTCATGCTTGACGCCATATTATATTTTGGGATTAGTAAAATTTGGAATATGACATAAGTATTAATTTAACTTATTTTTATTTACTATTCTACTTGAAGATATTATTATGTCAATTGATATTTTTTCTTAAGAAATCAATTAAAATGTCCCAGTTAAGTTTATAATATCCAAAAATATTGTGCAATTCTATTTTTAATGAAATAAGAAATGTGATTTCTTTTATTGCTATAACTATAGTTCATAATGACTATTACATTTATTTTTAATAATATTTAAATAAAAAAATAGTAAATCTAATAATTCAATTTTACATATTTAAACTCAAGATGAATCTGACTAATTTATGGTAAGAAATAAATATAAAAGAAAAATATTTTGATATTTAATCACGTGCACTGCACGTGCATAAAAACTAGTAGTTAAAAATTCTCACTTGAATGATCTGAAGTATATGACGTCAGTTTTCTGTTAGAATATATCGTGTGACACAATGAGTTCATTTAATACCCCTTATATGTTATTTAATCACATCCAACCTTCACTTAAATGATCGTTAGAATATTCTAAGAATATTCCCATGTAAGAGTCATGTGACACAATTAGTTCATTTAACACCTCTTATATGTCCGTTACTATGTTATATTCATCTTCATCTCTACAATTTATGTATAACCTGAAGTTTTTGGGAGTTCCACTGTAGTTAAGCACGACAACTCCTACAGTGGCTTCCAAGCAGAGCCGGTCCTTGGTTTTCTAAGGCCCAGGGCAAATTTTCTCAAGTGTGCCCCTTTATACAAATTAAACAAATAAATAAATAAATTATCAATTAATTAATTTTATTAAAATTATAAGATTTTACAAAAGACAAGGAAAAACACTTTGGAGCCTCATTAAAACCTTGGTTGGGGAAAACCTAATGGGACAAAACCCCAAATCGAAATGAACATCTAATATGAGCATCTGAAATCACATGGACTTAATCTAAAGAAACAAAAGCACAAATGCAGCAAGCATTGCATTTTATGGACATAAATTATTTTAAGCAAATAATAAAAGTGTCATAGGCATATAATCGATGAAACAACATGGCTAGTGAACTGAAAGGTGCAAAATCTTTAAATTTTACCTTCCTGATCACCATAATCTATAGAGAATATCATCGGAATAGGCTAGCAAATATAATAAATTTTGATTCTCTAGAGAGTATTTAGAAGTATTATTTGCGTTAAGTATTTAGAAGTATGCACTTTCAAAATAACATTTCAGAATTGTGCATCAAATTTCCTTCTTTTTGTATATACTTGAGAAATACATAATTAAATTCAATTAAAATCAAGTGTCTTTTGTATATACTTGAGAAATACATAATTAACCATTTCCGGTATGCACTTTCAAAATAACATTAGCATGAATTTCCATATTATTTTTGTAACATTGAATTTGATGTGAACTTTACAAAAATAAGATACATAGGTAATTCTATATGTCATAAGTGTAAATGGATACATGTACAGAGTCGCATATATATATATATATATTATATATGAGTAAAAATTTTGTCATCAAGTGTCTGAAACAGAAAATAACCTAAACTTTAAGTCTGAATAACATTAACCAAATGCCTGCAATAGACCTGGAATTTCATTTCCAGTATGCTCATTCAATTTTATAATTAGCATGAATTTCCATATTACTTCTGTAACATTGCACGAAATAACCTTCTGTAACATTGAATGAAAATTGAATGAAAATAAAATAGTTAATTTTTTCGGTAAAAATCCATGATAAGACAATCTAGGCAAAAATGATACGTAGATCCTTTTGCAAGTAAGGCCCATCTGATCTGATCCATGGGCTTGTCTATGGGAAGTTGCTAGCTACAAGAACTTAATATCAAAATCAAAAATTTTGAGGGGGCCAAGGCATCCCCAGAGCTATACATAGCTTCGTCCTTGATGATCCTAGTCCCTCTCAGCTGTGCCCCCCTCATCTTTGGGCCCCGGGCTGTAGCCCTGGTGGCCCTAGCTCAGGGCCGGCCCTGCTTCCAAGAAGCCTCCCAATATTTTAAGATTGTTGGGGTACGTCATATCTTTATATTTTAAGATTCATCTCCTAGCTCTTTTAGGTATTTTAAAATTAATCCTCCAGCTTTTAAAGTATTTTAATTAGTCCACCAGCTCTTTCAAGTATTTTAAGATTAGTGTCTCTACTCTTTCATTTAGCTTCTAACATGAAGGACAGATTTCATAAATTTTAAAAATTTTGAGGGGTTAATTTCAAAATATAAAGATTTCGGGACTAATTTCAAAAAAATCTTCAATGACCCAAAATATGTGACCAATAGAGGGGACAAGTGAGGTGTTCAGGTGTTCCCCTCCTATTGGATAATGAGTTGGCTATCATTAATGATAGCCAACTCATTATCCAATAGGAGGAGGACACCTCACTTGTCCCATCTATTGGTCCCATATTTTGGGTCCCGTATCAAAGCTCAAATGCAAAAATAAACAGACATTCCTTCTCTACCTGCATAATCTAGGGATCTCAATCGGTAAGGGAGGATGGTGCAGCTGGAATCGGTCCGATATTAACGGAAAAGGATCCAGCCGCAGGTGGCATAGACTTGGCGGTGGCCGCGAGATGTTTGGTTGAAGGGGCTATAGAGATGGGAGGCGCGGATCTTCGCCGGGAACGGTGGGGATGATGGGACATGGGGAGGTTGTGAAGGGGAGTAGAGGAGGATGTGATGTCTCTGTATTCGACAAATCGAGCGGCTTAATCCAAGTGGTGCGAATTAGATAGAGTAAGTATCTAACTTTAAATTTATCATATTTTATTATTCTAAAAATTTCTAACTTTTTTATATTAGATTATTAAAGCTAAAGCTCTATATGAGCAAGAATCTAAATATAAGAAAGAGTTTCGATATGAACACATTTGGCATATTCTAAAGGGTGCTGAGAAGTGGGCTGACCCTACACCTTCAAAGATGGCGGTGTCTGGAACCATCTCAAATGCCGAAGGATCAGAGTCGAACTCAATGGACCGAGTTAATCTAATGGGTGATGAGCAATCTCCTACCAACGCCTCATCAAGTCGACCCGTTGGAAGAAAGGCGGAAAAGGCGAAGGGAAAGATCATCTCCCTATCTGAGTGTGATGTTGATATTCTTAAGAATATAAAAAAAAATGCAGGAAAAACGTGAGCTTGGAAGGGAAACCATGCATCAACTAGTGATGATGAAATTAGAAAATGATAAGGAAAAATTAGATCAACGGGCTGTACAATTAGAATAGCGCAATCAACTACTGGCTCAACAGCGTAAGCAATTTCGTCTTGAGCGTGATCGTGAGGATAGAGAAATAATATCAATTGATTCGAGTAAGATTGTTGATGTAAGGGAACATGCATTTTTCGAGAGGAAAAAACAACAAATCATTAGCAGAAATAGCGGTGATTTTCAATTTGATAGTTTAACAAACACAGAAGCAACAATACCAAAACGGCAGCTGTAGAATAATTAAAACAAACCCTAACTTCCATTTTTGTGATTAGCAGGTTAATGACTATCCTAAATAGTCGGGGTTGCCAACCCCGACTATTTAGGAGGGGGTTAAACCCTAATTAAAGGGTGATTAGCATGTTAATCACTATCCTAAATAGTCGGGGTTGCCAACCCCGACTATTTAGGATAGTGATTAGCAGCCTAATCACAAAACCGGGTCGATTTTGATAAAAAAAAAAAAAACAGTCGGTTTTGAAAAAAAAAAAAAAAATCAGGCGGTTTTGAAAAATTGTTCTTTTTTTAAAGATGAAAAAACAACAAATCATATAAAACAGATCTCGACCACTGACTTTCCGCTGCCAGCTCATCGATCCGCGCCAACCGTATAAAACAAATCTCGACCGTCAATCCAAAACCCAACCGATCCCATCCATCGACCCACGGATCCCCCCTCTTCACCCCGGAAGCTCCCCCAAAAAATTTTAAAACCCCTCCCTATTCTATTGGAAACCCCATTAATTATCCCTCTATAAAAATCCCCAGACCCAGAGCCCTAATCCTCCATCGCTCTCCCCCTCTCGAATCAAATCAAGATTAAAACCAACCGCTGCAGTCCGAATCAATCAAGAGCGGAGCGATGTCGGGGCGGGGGAAGGGAGGGAAGGGCCTGGGGAAGGGCGGGGCGAAGCGCCACCGGAAGGTGCTGAGGGACAACATCCAGGGGATCACGAAGCCGGCCATCCGCCGCCTGGCCCGGCGCGGTGGCGTGAAGCGCATCAGCGGTCTGATCTACGAGGAGACGCGCGGCGTGCTCAAGATCTTCCTCGAGAACGTCATCAGGGACGCCGTCACCGGCGGTTAGGCCGCTGTATGGGGCTCTTCGTTTTTGTTTTTGGTGGTGTAAAAAGTCCAGTTTCGAAATTGCGATCTGTTGGCTTATCCGATCATTGTAACGGTGGCGGGTGCTCCTGGATTTGTACTACTTTATGTTTGCAACTTGGTGATTTTTTTTTTTTAAACACCGCGATTTCGAAACGACATTGTCTCTGTTGAAAATTTCAGCTCATTGACTTCTACCATTTTACTGAACAGTCTAGTTCAAAGAGAAGTGTAGGCTGGAGGCTCATCAATTTGTCATGATGCTGCCGAGAAATTTCTGGGATATTCAACATCTGATATGTAACATATTGCTGCATGTTGTATATCACTCTGTAGAATGTTTCATTAGTAGAATGTATCATTCACGAATGCAAAAATGGAAGTTTGATTGATGCCATTTTTCAGTTTACATTACTTGAGCTTTGTGAAGCAGATTCATCTACTTACCTGGCGAGCAGAAGTTGAATTAGCAAATATCTGGATTTGGAGGGTAACTTTGCAAATATGGCACCTAGGTAAAGAAGTTGAAATAACCATTTGTCAAATTGCACTTAAATGACTAAAGTTTCAGTTTTTTTATTTTTACTTATATGACCTAACTTGTATAACGCATCACTAGGCGATGTGTTATGTCTACTTTTTTTCCCCCTGCACTTGTTTAAGACTGGGGGTTGGGTTGATTTATTTACAAATTTAGTATAGATATAAAATTAAGAGCTTTTAACATATATATACCCCTTGAATCTTTTATATTTACAAAGTTACCCTTCACATCTTGATATTTGTAAAACTACCCCCCAGTTCTCTCATATTAGGGTTTTCTAACCCTCCAACTAACCAACATTAGTGTCTAAATAGGGCAATGTAAAAAATTTCAAATAATTTCCAATAGGTTTGCTATATTTTTCTTGTTTAAAAACTAAAATTGTCAAGTGAGAGGGGTAAAAAAAAACTCAATGTGAGAGAAATGAGGGAAAATTTTGCAAATATCACTATTTTAGTAGGTAAATTTGCAAACATGAAATTTTTAGGGGTATATATGCAAAATTCCCTAGAAGTAAAAAGCACAAATAAGAATGTAATATGAATAGAATGTGTGGCTCAATATGTTACAACACCCAAAACTTTTTTATCCAACAATAAGAAAACTGTAACATCGATGCTTAAGCCGTTATTTTTGGCTTCTTTCAAAGTAATTTATCTATTTTACAACTCTCGAAAATATTTCTTTCTAAATCAAATGAGCCATTATTTTTTTTAGCTTTCTCCATACTAATTTGTGTACATATCAACCACCAAAGGCATTTCATTAGGCTTTGAGATAAACATCCTCAAGGTTTCATTCCCATTTAAATCAGGGTAGTGATACGTATAGTACAAAGCTTATACTACTTTTGTGCACACACGAATGAAAAAGTAGGGTCCAAGCCGACTCAAATTTTTTCTTGACAATATCCAAGTAAGGAACCCACACATTTGTTAGTGGCAGTACAGAAATAGTATGGTCGACTTATAGTACAATTATCATTTTTCTTCAAACCAGCTTTATGTTTGCTCACGTTCATTTACAATGCTCATGTTTATTTACAGGACTTGGCAACAAAAATTAGATCACTATTTAAAGAGCGTCAGTGTGGGTAATTTAAGGTACTTTTTTTCATACACAACTGTTAGTCTCAAAGCTAGTTTTCACTTTTTATATCCGTCACATTCCAAATAAGCTAGTTTTTAAGTCTCTTTTTTTAAAAAGAAAAATGATAATTATGCTAGCTAGAACAGCGAATAAGGTAAGTGTGGGGTCTTTGATGACTCATCAATTTTTAAGTCTCGTATAAAAGCTAGTATTCACTTTCATATCCATGACATTCCAAATTTGCCATCTACGACGTTTCTTTTTTTTTGTTCCATCTTTATTTATCGGTAAGTGTAGGGTCTTTCAATGCTCATCATGTCCAGTGATGTCTTGGCGTTCTGGTGCCGCTGGACATCAAACTCCCCCCCCCCCCCCCCCGCCTCCCTCCAGCTTTAGTTGTCAGTCTAATGCTGACAGGTAAAGGTAGTACTGTTGTCTGTTGAAACCTTTAGCTCGTTAACTTAAAAGCTCATTTTATTGAACAGCTTGTTTCCAAGAAGATTCAGGTTGAAGGCTCATCAAGTTGTCATGATACGACAAGGATATTTCTGGGATGTTCACCTGATATAAAACAATATTTCGGATATTATATATCCCCTCTGTCTGCAAATTAACCTTTTGACCAAAAAGCCTAGTCGGCTACTTCACTCGTCCCCCCCCCCCCCCCCCCCCCCCCCTATTAGTTGCTTCATCTCAAGTTATGCCATGGTTTCCTGAATCCAGCGTTCCGCCTATCTCTTTGTTGACCGCTGTTATTATTTGACAAAAGCTTGGAGGTTGTTTCTTCATGTGCGCGTCTCCTTTTTCGTCAAACTTAGAGCATGTTTGGTAAGTGGTCAAACTAACTTATAAGCTACCGAGACTTTTTTGGCAAACACCTTTTTTGGCCTTATAAGCCTAAAAATATAAGGGAGGGTAACCTAGCTTATTTTTTGGTGGCTTATAAGCCACGTAGTTTGACCAAGTAGAAAATCTCTATGACCCTAAACATTTAAGAAAATTTAAATGCTATATATTCTCTATCTCCCATCATTTTTTAGTCATTTTAGTCATTTTAACAACAAAGATGGATTATAAAGCCACTCATTTGCCAAACATTTTACTATTGAAAATGAATTATAATATATTACGTTTACCAAACACTTTGGATTATATCCGTTTAAATTATGAACCATTTATAGATTATAAGCCAAGTAAATTACAACCTAAAGTTGCCAAACATTGCCTCAACAAACCAAGAAAGAGAGGCGTATAGGAGTACCCGCACGTGGAAAACAGTGCACATCATTTGTAACGCAAGTCTGTGAGTTCCATTCCCTAATTCTATCATTCAATTGTAATTTCTAGCTTAATTTTAACATGTTTCTGAAATCCAATTTCCTTGGCAGGACCCGACAGTCGAGACATAAAGAGTGGAAGTTTGAACAACTTACGGTTAAACGCTAGAGATAGTTGATGATGTATATTTTACTCAAAAATATCTACGGTAACTAAACCCAGACATTTCACATAACATTAAAGATAATATCTCAGCCTTTTCGCAGATCTTTTTTTATAAATTCCCATGGAAACCTGAAAGCTAAGCACTTAAAAGATCCTCTGTTCCGAGCCTGAGCACCTGATAGCAATCTCAAATGTTTGCATAAGCAAAATAAATATCAAGACTATGGAGGAAAACAAAAGCAACAATGACCCAAATTTGTTGCCGTTATGTTAACAGAAAATGTGCTGGAGGCAGCTCCGGTAACAAAAGTAAGAAGGGGAAAAAATAGTGATAAAGGTTTGCTGGTGGAGGTCGTCATATTTTTGTAATTTCATCCTTTTTTGCTTAGAAAATAAGAAAATTGATGTAAAATAGTAGCAGGGAACAATTAAATAAGCAAGAAAAGACTACAAAGAGATGACGACGGTTCAATGTAGAGTACAACAGGATTTTGAAGATGTAAACAGCAACATCAAATACTGGTTTACTCATCCCCATTCATTCCTTTGCAGCAAAAAGTGCACAAATGACTGCCGAACTGCGATATGACATCTACCAAGCCCCCATAGCCACCAACAGCAGTAACCTGAAAACATGACGATGAAATAACTTTCTCATTTAGTTCCTATATATCAAAAGGATTATTGAACAAAAAGGACAGAACATACATGGGGGACATGGCAGATTAATACAGAAAAACCAGACAGCAAGTAATAAAAGACGAACTTTTATCAGCCAGACTTCAAGATTTCAAGTCATTGGGATTAGGCGAAGCATCATAGGTGCAACTTGCACTAGTACAACGTCTCATTAAAAAATGTACAAAAAAGACAAAAGATTGTGAATTTTAGAAAATTAAAAATGGAAGTTTGAAATATGCTATTCTTCATATTATTCAGTAATCATTACTTTAGCTTTGTAAGCCAGATTCATATACTTAGCTGCATAACAAGGCAGCGAAAGTCTGCAAAGTGGAATGTCAATATGCTTAGTAAAAGAGGATAGTTAATCAAAGAGCATGGTTAATCAGCATGCAGATATAACCAGGTCTCCTGTTGTGGAACTTGCTTTCTTGGAAGTGGAAATCTTTTAAAATTCATTAGGAATAAGAATTCCAGTGAAAAGTAACTAAGATTTCCAAAAATTCTAACAGATTTTCTTTCGTCAGAATCCTTCAGGCATCCCTACATAAGCTATAGGACCTGGATATCCATAGAGATGACTACTTCTGTTGGCATCATTTGAAGATCCTAGGTCAAAGGTCCTTCTCTGCAGTCGACCCTCAGCTTTGGCCATTTCTAGGGCCCATGTAACCACAACTGAGCAACACTTATTTCTTTATCTACTTTTCAGACAATTTCTACTTTTTAGCTCTCCCAAAGTGTTTCCAAGTCCATTGTCAAAACGATCTCCACCAGGTTCGCCATACAGCCCTAGCCCTTTCCCCCCCTCTCAATTACAAAGTTATCCTGAAGATCACTAAGATCACAAAATTCACCTTCAAGAAAGATCTCCAGCGATCAACTGGTAAATTTCTTGATGTATGCATTGCAAAAAGGAAACAAAGTAATTTTGAATTGCTCATCCATTCGTAAGATTACATGAATTCAAATGAGAAGGGATCAAATCACATAGATATGAAAAGGAAGTCCGAAGTCCTTATTTTCATGCAATTCTGACAGAGTCCGGATAGAGTTGCCACTCTACGGCATTGCAATTCTAATGGGTTTCTACAAGTTGTTGTTGAAGGGTTCACTTCACTAATTCATGCCTTGACCAAAAAACAACGGATTACATAACATATAAGCTGTATCTGCATTAGTTCTGATCTTGAAATATGTAGAAATGGTCATGTGAAGAATGTTTAACCTAAAATAATTGAAAACCAATCGTTCCACTAGAGCATTTGAATTTTCCATCTTAAAAACAATAAGATCTAATGTGGTCCTTCATAAGGTATCATCGCGATTTGGCAACAGTCTTTCAGTCAGTTGTAAGGTTCAACACATTTTGGCTTTCAAAACAGTCTTTCAGTCAATTGCAGTGAAATATGAGGATGCAACAGAAATATGCCTTTTCATGGAGAACTTAGAATATGTTAATACTACTTCAAGCATAAAATCCAGCGTGCAAAAAACATAAGTTCAGAAAGAACTTAACTTTGATATGACAATAAAGTTTTAACTATAACATATCCCATAATATGTAAAAATATCTATTTAAAAGGAAAGAAAGGTAGCATACCCGTGAGGGATGAATGCAGACAGAGAATACTGACTGAGGAGCACACTGGTTCTGTGAAAGAAGAGTTCCGTTAATGCTAAACCGTGTTAGCAGAGGCTCAGAACCAGCCGCTAGAATCTGAATGGTGAGGAAAGTCAAAAGATACAGGAGAGTATTGTCAAAATTAAGAAACAACAGAAAAAATAATCCCAAAATAGTGAACTTCTATCAGAGAATATTGATACATAAGAGAAAGGGAAAAAATAATAATAATTGGAAAATTTTCAGTCTGAGTGCACAAGAAGATATCAAATCAAGATATTAAATAAGAACTTTTCTAGATCAGTTTTGTATTCAGTTACATATTAAAAGGTCAGATTTGGATTTGGATATCTGCTTACACCTACAGTTACATATAATGTGCTGTACATATCGAAATAATACCAATAGAAAATCATAATAACATATGCAAACATAATACCTTATCATATTATTAGAATTTATGGAAGTGTGTGCATTGTGTTGCCCTGAATATGCATCTCTCTCTCTCTCTCTCTCTCTCTCTCTCTCTCTCTCTCTCTCTCTCTATCTATCTATATATGCATCTCTCTCTCTCTCTCTCTCTCTCTCTCTCTCTCTCTCTCTCTCTCTCTATCTATCTATCTATTATTAGAATCTATGAAAGTGTGTGCATTGTGTTGCCCTGAATATGCCTCTCTCTCTCTCTCGATCTCTCGACCGACCTATTTTTTTAAGGACTACCATGTCCAATTGTGTCTAATGTGCCATGTCCTGTCATGTCCATGACTAGGCTTGGTGTGGTAAGGGGGTTTGAGAAGGGGAGAGGAGGTGAGGGGAGGTGCAAAGAGGTGGAGAGACAGACATCCCTTTTAGCCTTTATGTTTGGTTGGAGAGGGAGTATGGGGAGGTAAATCCTTTTTTAAGCTCACTCTCTCTCCCTTCTTGCGGCCTAACAAATCGATAAGATTCTTTTCTATCTAAGTTTTTAGTTCATTTTTCATTGTCCCTTCCCTCCCTTCCCCTCATCTCAACTTACCTCCCTCTCCAAAAATTCCCTACCAAACGTGATTTCAGTTTTATCCCACCCCTTCTCTCCTACCAGACCATGCCTTAGATGGAAAGATCAATATATCCACCCAATAAGGAGAGAGTGGAAAAGGCTTTCCTAATACGTCATCATTAAGATTGAAAGAGAGCAATAGTTTTGAAAGATAAAATCGCAAATTATCTTAATTCTTAACAAAAAGCCATCTACGTAATGCACCAAGGAGCTTAACCGTCTTACAAAGAGAAAGGAAGATACAAACAACACCTAGAAAAAGGAAAATAGTAATAATAATAATATAACGCAAATGTGAGAAACATGGAGAACTGATTTTAGATGCATATTTTGGATTGTGATGTGCGTAAAACATGGATTCCATTAAAAACAACTTCATACGACAATAAGTGAATATTGCACAAGCTAATTCATTCTACAAGATATTCAGATTATGGTTATCAATAGAGAAGAGCTTAGGGCCCGTTTGGATAATGGAAGTATTGGAAGTAAGAAATAGGTTATAGAAGTAACTTTCAAAACTATGAAGTAGGAAGTAGTGGAAATAGAATTTTTTTTGTTTGTTTCATATATTTTTAGAAGTAATGGAAGTAGAACTTTTTCCTCTTCATTTACTTTTTTGTTGGGATAACATTTGAAAATATTACTAGGAAGTAATTTTATCAATGAAAAGTTGTTAGAAGTAACTAATAAAGGAAATATTAATAAAAAATTATTTATTTCCTAATTAATATGCATTTCAACTACTTCCGAGCACTTCTGAGTATTGAGGATTGGAAAAATATTTTGGAAGTAAGGATAGCACGTAGGCGCCACATAAGCGTTTAAGGAAGTATTGGAAGTAAGTTTTTTAAAGAACCAAACACACTTTTTTGCTTGGAAGTAGCAGAAATAGCATCTAATTCTTTTACTTTAGCTACTTCATAATTACTCCGGTGCAAACAAACAGGCCCTTATTTGATTGTAATTAGATATCCACATAATGATTCTTAAATATCGAGCTTACTTGATTGTCATCAAACACTAAATCTTGCGTAGGAGAACGATTATCAATGCTGAAAATACACTCGCATGAAAGTAGACTCCACACTGATAATCCCCTACCAGTGCCACAAACCTGGAAAGCAGCAGTTTAAGCTTAAACTTTGATATGCAAAACTTGATATAATGATAGTACGACTGCGCGTAACATTAGAATGAAGCTGAAAAGAATTTACATTTTTAGTAGTCACATATCCTGAGAGCAAGAGATTCACATACAACAAAGCCAGAGTATTCATAAATTGAAGAGCTTCTCTAAACAACACCCAAAAGAGATGATACTAAATAAAAAATACAACGTACAGAGAAGATAAAAATAAACACTGAACCATATGGAACAAATCAAATTGCAACTGGAGGAACCTATGCTGGCAGCTTTTGAGGGGGAGAGATGAAGAAAAAACACTGACGGAAACCAATTTAGCGCAACCCAAAATAAATCAGAGTAACTTATAACATTTAAATTTCTCACGCGGCCTATTTAAAGATATTGAAAAATTGGAGGATGAATATCAGAAAAACCCTAAAAGTAATAACAAAACATAGTATTAGTCTTCAAATAGAGGTACCATCTAGCAAAATAACCATATGACTTCAAATTCATAATGAGATAACATCAAGTGAATCAATATAACAACAAAGAAGATGCTTGCAAAATAAGTTGTACAAAAAAAAACTTCATGGATAAAAACAATTTCACGGATAAAGCTTTTTACCAGCCAACTTTCACTTGCATCAATGGCTAAGGAACTGACCCATGAAGGTTCCTTCAATTTATAGCCCTTTTCTGGATATAGAATCCGAGTACATTTTCCGCTTCTACAGTCTACATATTACAAGTAATAGTTATGCATTAGAAATCGTGGTTAATGCTACTTATATAAGACAAGCGAACGACTGATAGTATAATGAGGTTCCTTTGCATTTTCTGTTCATATAGTAGTAGTATGGAAGATGAGTTGCTATAATGGGCTCATTCCGAGTTATATATAGATATCAGAATATGCAATTCTTGTGTCTTTCCAAATTTTCAGTAGAGAAATTTTTTAAAAGAAAACAAATCAACTGTGGTAATCATATACACAGTAAGCATGCATGAAAAGGTTAAGTGTGATTTTTTTAACATAAATATTAGTCAACCCTCAGAAATCTTTTTCTAGAAAAGGTGCTCTTATGGTAGCTGTTTCCCAATCTGCCAAAACCAGGGTCTCACCATGAAACTCCATCTTCCATCACAATAGGCTCAGTGTGTATTAATAAAAGATTATGTTGTCCAGATTATAAATGGCATTTAGTGATTCCAGCTGCTCGAGTAATTCCTTACTCCTGAGTTCCGTCACTTTTCATGAAAACGCATCATATTGGCTGGGGTCACTATGTAGTTTTTTTGTACAAATCGGCAGCAACTTACAGGAAACAAAATAATTGTTTAGAGTGTAGGTATAAGCTTTTACCCCATATACGTGCTGTTCCATCTTCAGAACCAGTAATGATCTGAAAAAGCAAACTGCTATCATTAATAACATGTAAGAATAAATCTTGCTATACGCCTTGTAGAAAACTTAATTATCTCTAAGGATATCTGCAACGAAGGATCTGAGATGTCATGGTTGGGCTGCTATACAAGGTGCAAGCTATCCAAGAAACAAACATGAGAACAGAGCAAAAGAGGGCTCTTTTGAGGACCTGCATCATTAACATCTTAGATTGTTGCAAATAGAATTTACTTAATTTTAGGTATAAAATTCTTATTATCCTAAATTGCACAAATAGCAAAAAGAATCAGGTTAAATCAAGAAATTGCAATTCATCATAATTTAGGGTCTTAATTGTTTCCCACAAGTTCACCTATTTTCATACAGTTTTGCTAAAAATTGCCCTATGGGCAATGGTTAACGAAGAGAAAGAAAGAGAGGTGGAGGCGAGTGGAGCCTATATTCCCCCACTCTCTCTCCTCCTCGGCTCTCTTTTCTCTCTTTGTTAACCATTGCCCTAAGGGTAATGGTTAGGAAAATCCATTTTCAAATAGCTTTCGTAAGTTTTCCGCAGTTTGTTGCAGATTAAAGCACGTCGCCTACTGTCCCTAACTGTATTCAAAAGGAACTTTTGAATTTGTGTCAGAAGCTTTACGGATATTTTATGCAAGGAATATGTCATAAACACAATGAACCAACCTGGTTGCTGGATTTACGAGCGACGATAGAGTGCAAGTAGTCGGAGTGTCCCTTAAAGACAACCTCTCTCTTGCCTGTCTCCTGTAGTAATAAGGAGTCATAATGGTGTTGTAATTTCATGGAAAAGAAGGGATATACAGGAAAGCATCAACCTAATTGAACAAATACATGCTTTTCTTTGAAAAGCTTTAACTTGTAACCTACAAGTTTTACCTTTACAGATACATACCACATCCCAACAATAAGCACAAGAATCACCAGCAGCTGAGAAAACGGATCCTTCCTGCATAAGAATATAGCAACTTGTGATATGCTCATTACGTAGAAAAGCATTTAACATTATATTTATTGCAACGATATCAAAAATAAATAAAATATGAGACATAAAATCAATTTGCAACGATATAAAAAAGAAAGTAAAATATGAAACATAAAATCAACTTTAACAAAAAGATGAATACAACTGAATATACTTTAGAAGAAAGTATGCTCGTTGATTAGGAAGCATACACGCACATCTATAGTGCAAACATGAGTCTAGTATACAATTTCTCACGAGGAACAGGAAATATTTATGCATCCCCCTCCTTTATGGTCCATAATGTTGTAAACGGCATTTTTGGCACAAAAAAAAGCATTAACCATTTCATAAAGAACGACCAGTTCGTAAAGTTTTGATAAAGAGGTTGTAGGTTTTCCCCCCTCTGAAGTTGAGAGCTTAACTAGTAAGCCTGATAAATTGTGCAACTCAAGAAGCTAGATAAGTAATCAAATTAGGTAAAGGAATTGTTTGTATCAGGCCTCTGATTTAAGAGATAAGATAAGACAACTCCTGAAAGCAAAAGGCAAGAAAGTGAAATTTGGTAAATAGTAAAATAAAAAGCTATAATCCTGCTGCTATATTAGCAGGTCAAACTTCCCAAAAGAAAAGGAACAATCAAGAAATAACGTCAGATATCTAGACTTAGAAGCAATTACAGTGGGTGGGACAGTCTACTTGACTAGCCAGTTTATGATGGAAACATGTCATTCTTAAGAAGAAGTTCTGCTCCTTGTTCCAATTTAGTGGAACCTTTTAGGCTTGGTAAGGACTTTAAATTATTTAGATCCAAACAAATATGGAGAAAAATGTAACAGAAGGAGGATCATATGATTGGAGTCTGTAAAGAACAAGAAGAATGTTCTGGAGAATGATTAAAGAAAACTTCACAGCAAAGGGCTTGAGAAGAGGAATTCTTTATTAGGAAGTAGATTGAGAATTGGTTCGTCCAAATTTTTCCCCTGGATCTAATTTTTTCATATTTCAACTAAAATGAACTCATGGTAAACTATAAACTATTGGTCATGTGACCCATAAATTTATCGCAGGGTGCTTGCAAAGATAGCTTTTCTAAGAGGATAAGGAAATGTTTACAGTTTAACAGTTTCTTCCTTTCCAAACAATTTATAGTAGCACATAAATTCTTCCCGCAGAATCTTCATGAGATTGATTATAATCTTACAAAACATCATTATTAAACATAATAGCACAGGTAATCATGGGGATCAGCCACCTATTATTTGTCAATTGCATGGTATTCCACATCTAGAACATCAAGTATAGTGATTTCGAATATTATATCAACAAAATATTGTTAAATGTAGGAAATATCAGCTTATTCTCAAGCATCAACATGTTTGCTATGATCTCCAAATTAAGCAGTGTATATCAACTTTAAATGCATATCCAAAAAAGCTAGCGAAAAATAGGAACAAAAAGGAACTAAAACCAGACGGAAAGTAATTTCTTGCAATAACAACCAGTATATGTGAGAAATTCTCATCAAAAAGGAAAGAAGGAAAGTTTATATCTTCACGAAAGAAAAGAACATGAACAGACCTGTTCATTGATTGCGATAGCATTGCTTTCAGGGATAGGAGAAAGAGCACCCCAAGGACCTCTGAGCATGAAATCAGATTATTATAAAGAAGGAAATGGAAAGCAAGAAAACAACATAATCGATGTGAAGTATTTAACAATAAAAATAAAGCGAAAAAATACCACTTATGCAACTATGAAATTTAGAAAAGGCAACAAATAAACATTACAAGTTTCAAACAGAAACAACTGCAGTTACATGATACATGTGTTCCTAAGGCAGGTGGCATTAGATATGAACATGCATTGAGCATAATCCCAGAAGTCCCAGTACAACAGCACAACAAGATTAACTCTAGATATATGGGGTTTGCTACATAAATATTTTTCCTCAATCAAACTTTATTTCGGTTCATCCGCTTTAATTAATTAACAAATAGAAAACTATTTTTCGTCCCTCTACTATGTCCATCTAAGTTGACAACAAGTTCTTGTTGCTCCATCAACTATGGCTCTACCAATCCGGATGGTGAACTCAACAGTCTCCTTTGCAAATATCCAAACTCAAAACTATCTTAATGTGTCTTTCCGCAGTTTATCTCAATAATATAGGCCTAACTTTTTGAATATGCACTAATTTTTATCCTACCTTGCCATGTGAGCCTCACATGCGCATCTACACTAATTTCCAGATGTGTGTCTTAATCAGTTAATTGCATAACAATCTCACCTATAAAGCAAGGCTGGTTGTGTTGCTGATAGAAACTTTTGTGATGCATTCAAGGCGAGATTCATATTTGTGTTTTGCAATGCACTCAAGGCTGTGTTTTCCATTTCATGACAAGAATGCAAACGTTGCAAGCACTTCATGATTAACGTGAACTTCAGATCTATTTCCCAAATAGTTCTTTGTGCTTCCCAAAATTTAGAAAAGTTTTGACCTCATTTCTGAATTATATTCCCAACCTAAAGACATTTCTCATACATGAGAGAAACTCCTATCTTATAATTGGCTATAATTTCTCTACATATGATAATAAGACAAAGCCACAATCTGCTAACTTATAACTGGCTAATTTCCCTGTATATCATGACAACACGCTTACCATGATATAATATGATTTTATATACATGAAAGTTAACTGGTAGCATGTGCTTCAACAATTGATCCTCAATCCCCTTCTGTTCGGGTTGGACTTGTTACATGTGTGCAGAAACATCATATTATATATCTCAAAAGCTATTATCATCCTTAAGAGAGAAACATTTTCCTTTTCTGAGATTGCATCTCCACAAACACTTAAAACAAAGAAACTTCAAGTTAGTTTTAGGAGCTTCTCCTGAAAAAGTTAGTTTTAGTAGCTTCTCCTGAAAAGAAATATAAGAATTTTAAACACGAGTTACACAATGCAATTGAACTGTAGAATTTCATGTATCGCGCAATTCTACAAACGACTTACTCATGCTGTGGGTTTGTGAAGTCAAGTACAGGATCCAGTTGACCACCTACAAAACAAGTAATGAAAAAAAAGACAATTTTGATTTCTTAGTAACCTAATCTATGGTCTTCAATATAATGTAAATTGTAAACAGCTATAAAAGCATAATATGTACATTCCTCGCTGAAAAAAGGTGTTGGCATAGGACACTTGATGCTTTTATCATGTGCAAAACTTAAGGACAATAATTCAAGAACAATAATTGTAAAAAGAGAAGTGTAAGGAATTAGCAGTAAGATAGCATTCAATAGGACTGAAAAGTAATATTAAAAAAATAGTGTTAGCATGAAGAAATTCTGAACTCAACTTGCAGGGATAAGATATTTAGAATATTGTTCCTTATTGTCACCATATAAGAACAACTAGAAAACAAAACTAAAAGGAAAATGAGTTCTGATCTCAAGAGGGCTCAAGCTAATAGATAACATATTTTTATGAGAATGTAAAACTATTCTATATCATTAACTGGACAAAACCCATGTCCATGTTTCCATTTGCCTCTGACATGTGTATCAATCTCATTATTGTTACATAGGTCCACTGACATGTACTAGTGACTGTCATAGTTTGAGAAAAGAGAGGCAATTCCAGAAATATAAGAATCAAAGACCTGGCATACACTTTAAGTAATATATCCAAATAATGCACCTGAACCCAAATAAGAACCTCCTCACTGCTGTCTTCAAGGCTTTAAGACGATACAATTCTTCATTTAGCATCACCGACCGCCTATGTGTTTTTATAGGTACAATTTATAGCTGAATAACTCACTCCATGAAAGTTCCTGGATGAATTACTCGGTCAAAGGTAACGTTCTCCACTATTGGCACTGAGAAAAGTTTGATATCTACAGGAATCAAACTCCAATGGTAATATTCAGCAGAAAGTTAGCCTTCATTAAAATAATTCTTGAAACCCTATCTCCACTTATCTAAATTAAAATAAGTTACTTGACATACAAGTAAGAAATCTTTATTTAACCAAATCAAACCTTATCATGATTTTATGGATAGGTCATAAAAATCACCAAAATAACTTTAAAGACATCCTTCAAGTGACTGACCAGTGGTTATAAATAACGTACACAGAAATCAAGGTGATGACAGCCATTGGAATTATTTTCATAAGAACTTCAAAAAAATATTCCCTTAGGAGAGAATAACACCCGATATAAACAAACAGAAAGCTAATTGCCAACTATGTTGAAAATGTTATATCAGTTTTGCGGGTCTACATACATGTGATATTTTTCAGAGAACATGTAAATAGATTGAGTATTTTCTGGACATGCATCTACATTGATTTCACACAGTTCTTGGTCAAAACATGATACCAATCTATTGCAATCCTAAGCTGATTGCTGTTATATATCAAACAACTGCTAATATTTTAAATCATTACGGTGATAACTTAGTTCGAACAGACATAATAAAAGCACTCACTGTGCATGTTCTTTAAGTGTATCAAGGTGTCGATTAATACCTATAGTCAAAAGGTAAGTGAAGTTCCACATTCAGCGAACATGTTTACTAGCTGGTGTTCTGATTTTTATTTCTGATAACAGTTCTACAAATTGTAGACTTGACTACACAATTGCATTATGAGCATGCATAAGCAAGTGACAGGCAAAATCATATATAAATAATAGGATAACATAATGAATTTCTATTATGATTACCTTTCTTAGCTACTGGCGGTTTCATGTTCAGTACATCCATCCACTTCCAACCACGAACGTGTCCATCATCTCCACAGCTGCATAGGGTTTGCTCGATAAGCTTTCTATAATTTCAGAATTGTTTGAAGCTAATACAATATGACCAGAATTAATTACACTAATTACAATTTGCAACCCCATGACCTCCTAAATGTAACATATCTGGAATGTGACCAATGTACGGATATTAGTACCAAGGGGAAGCTGCATTGGTACTCAATTTTCAACAACAATTCTACATTAACTCCATGCAAGAACTACTAGTACAGAAAGACAGTAATGGACTCAGAAGATAAGATCCAAAAGTAGCAGGTAATGAGCTTCTATTACTATTTGACCAAGCCATTTGGCAATACCTGAACTTCACATTAATTCACCCATCAAATATTGAAGCTTACGGAAATAAAGAAAATCTGTCTTCTTTAGCACAAAAATCAAGTAAAGAATCAATGAGTGATCATCAAAAGTTTAAAAGCAGAGAAGCAGAAAAAACTAAATCTAGCTGAGATGGCAGTGAGAACTCATTTTAAGATCTTAAGAAATCAAATCCATTAAATTGCACAGGGAAAAAAGCTTGGCTTGAGTTGCGCCATCTTCAATTCAAATTTATAACACAGACTGCTTCTACAAGTTTCAGTAATGAAGCCAACCCATTCGTGCTATGACTTCTTGTGAAATGAATAAAAAAAAGGCAACTCTATACATAACCCAGCAAATTTGTTGTATTGAAACCACAATATATAATGACGTCACAATGCTGAAATGCACGTCACAGAACAAGAATAAAAAAAAGAGAGAATACAAGTGCACACAGGATACAAACCTTAATAACAAAGATTCATCTCCATTTCCATAAAATTTTAAGTCATATGCAGGGCCTTTATGTCCTTGAATGATGCAACGTGGTTCAGCGAATGGAAACTCAGATCTAAGCCTTCATAAAAGAAGAAATGAATATAACGAAATGACATAAGGGCAACTGAAGAAGCAAGTTCAAAGCTGAACAAAGATACAATCAGACACTTACTCTTGACCTCTTTTCTTTCTAGAGTGCACACTCTGCAAATGGTGACACAAAAATATCAGTAACATATGTTGCCAGAATGCTATAGCATACTTTTCTGACTAAAATCAGTGTCATTGCATTAAAAAGATTATCACAAATTAACCATCCAAACTTCTGAACCATGAACTGAATAAAGCCTTCCTTATAGTACCAATGGTTGCTTTATGCAATGATCTCATAAATCCATGGTTGAACTTCCAAAACAACGGTTTCTCTGATAATATGAGATACTTGCCAGTCACACATTTGAGCTTCGTTAAAACTTGCCAAACTCCGAATGGTTATCAAATTAGGTTCACCTCCAAAACCCCACAAAACCCTAGCTTGGCAAACTAAACCCCATTGCAAAACTAGGTTTTAACTTTCTTGCCGTCTATAGACTAATCTAAGAATAAAGGTACAGAAAATTGACGTCGACGTTGTAATAATAGCAGCAACTTTCAACGAATTAGAGGTGTAATAAATAATCCTTTTAATTTTTCATAGCAGACAAGTCTCCAACAGCTGATCAAGGCGAACAGCCCCAAAAAAATGGCATAATTCAACAAGTGCTTGCAATTGATCGGAAATTTTTGAGAAACTAATAGAATCTAGGGCACAAAATGAAATCGAAGAGGAGGTCACCTGATGAGAGGCAGCGATGCAAGAGGAAATGGCGTAGGCGGCGATAGATCCGTCACTGGAGGCGACGGCTAGGGTTTCAGGATTAGGGTTAGGGGAAGGAGCGAAGGCGGTCCTGAAGACGGTCCGAGATCGGAGCTCTCGATCGAGAAGGATGCTGCTCCTGTATCCTTCTTCGTCCCAATTCGTCGCGTCTCCTCCTCCATTTCTCGCCATTTTTGGAGCTTTTTCGATCCCGTTGCGAGCTGCCGCTTTTTGTTTCGGGGCAGCAAATCACAGTTCTACGCGCCAACTAGGGATTTTGTTTGGCCGCCTCAGTTTCGGTAGAGTAAATTCCAGCAAAACCCTATGATGTTAGGTTATTCGGTATTAGTCCCTTAGCTATTTAATATTCTGAATCGGTAACTCAAATCATTGAAATTGCTATTTAGTCCCTAAAACCCTACTAGTTAACTCAATTAGCCCCTGCAGTCTGTAGATGGCTCATGGATTTCTAGTTATACATCTATATATATAAGCTAGTCGGAGCTCAAAGTCGTCTCAATAAACCCATTTACATCTCATATTTGAGTTACTAGTACTATTTGAATCTAAAATCAGTAGACTCGTTTATTTACATTTTTGATGTTTGGGGAAACTACATAGAAAGTACAATGAATCGAGTGACTTAATAGCAATTCCAATGGTTTGAGGGACTAAGTAGCAATTTAAATAATGTGACAGACGAAGTTAAAAATATTAACGATGTAAGATACGGACAAATTTTCAAAACCGACCACTTTGGGATTTTAATTGCAAAAAACGACCCATTTCAATCTTATTTATAAAAACCGACCCAGTTGGTTGAAACTGGGTCGGTTTTTAAAAAAAAATTTCCCAAACTTCACGGGAGTTCAACTCCCGTGAAGTTTTGTTATGAGAAAAACTTCACGGGGGTTCAACTCCCGTGAAGTTTCCCAAAAAAAATTACAAAAACCGACCTGTTTTCAGCCCCTGGCTGAAAACAGGTCGGTTTTTGTAAATATTTTCAAAACCGGTCGTTTTTTGCAATTAAAAACCCAAAAGGATCGGTTTTGAAAATTTGTCCTGTAAGATACGGAGAAGAGAACACCCATAAATAAAAAAAACCTACATTCAAATGTGTACATAGATACCTCAAGTGTCATTTATACCATACATATTATATATTTAAATGTGTACATATATACCTCCAGTCCCATTTGTACGACATATAAACATTTTGAGACACAGATGCATTCGTTGCAACATGTGCTTATACATAATACAATTTTCATTAACCTGGATTTCTTTAGAAAGCCTAGGGACAAAACGTGCGATGAGTATCCATTTGTACATAGAAATCATGGATTTAAACCAATATAATCCTCTCCGGCCAATTTCAAAGTACATTTGAAAATTTGAACTCGGCTAAAACCTGATGGATGAATTATAGTCTTCTAAAAAAAACCCTGGAAAAAGGAAAAACGCACTCCAAATCCTTTGATTCTTCTGACAAGCAAAATTGAAACAGGATCAACTGATTTGGTAAATGAATTATTGTTCCTTTGCCAAAATTTCAATTGCTGATATAACATCCAATCATTGGATAATCCCGGTCAAACCAGTTGTTTAAAGTTTGACCAAACAGAGGCTACTTGTCTGGCTGGATCCCACTCATTTTGTTTAAGAAATACATTTGAAGACTCTCAAGGCCATAACATCAAACCAAACCCACCAAAAACACAGTCTAATATGTATAACTTATCCGCTATATTCAAATTTAATCAACATATTTCATTAACTCTAAATTTTCTATTTACAAAACAAAAATCTGTCAACAAAGAATTTCTACCTTCAACTCTGTGCATGTAATCTATGAACAATATCATAATGAACCTTTGCGATCAGCCTGCTAAACTTTCGAAGATTTACCCGAACATTTTGTTGTTCAAGATAAATCCTTTTAGTCTCTGACCATCCTTTACTTGTAATAGACTCCGGATCTCTTATAACCAAACTCCGACGATCGTACTGTTTATATAGAGAACTCTCTGCAGGATTCAACTTATAAACATTATAATTCAATCCTAGCTTTTTCGCCGGTTCACCATAATAAGCTTCAGCGGCCCAATCTAATCCCAAAGGAACAATTTGTATCAGTACCGAGCCAGGTCTCATGAACAAGAAATGAGTCATGGCTGCTCCGTGAACTGCTAGCATTGCATCTGAAGAGTTTAGGACTGTGTAGATCTCAGAGAGAGGAGTAATTCTTTTGGGATTGAGGATTTGCACGTCAAAGCCTATTTTTTCGCAGATTTTGACTATGACTTTGAGATTTTGAAGTACGCGGGATTTGTTTCGGATGAAGATTGCTAGCTTTGGTCGTGGTTTTTGGGGTTGAAGTTGAATTGGTTGGTGAGAGGAGAATCCCTGGTGGAGGAGTGACTGGAAGTCTTGGATTCCTTTGCCTGCAATTGTACTAGGCGTTATTTAGAATTGTATGCAAGAAGAAATAACTCACGCAAATGATGAGTGCAGTAAAAATGAAAACATTACAATAAAACATCTGGATATGCACCATTTTGTTCCTATTGAAGATAAAATGAGAGAAATTTTTGAGATGGTTTGATCATCTACGACGAATGCAATTTTATACACCAATAACGAGAAAATTGATAAAATTACTATTAATGAAGAAAATTAGGATCAAAGATACCTAAGAGAATTTAGTCGAAAACAGTTCAGAAAGATTAATGTTGCCATCCTAAAAATTTTGGGATGAACATGCTTCGTTAAACCAGATAAAGGAAACAAAACTGACCACCGTGCATGAGTGTCGGATCGATTGTGAGCTCCCCGTGAATCTTCAATCCAACCATCATCTCCGAAAAGCAATGAACCCTCCGATCACTCGAAAAATCAACCATCTTGTAATTACTCAGCTTCTTCACAACACTTCCATACTTGGTCTTCCACCAAGAATGGTACTCAAGAACCACAAACACGACCTCCCCTTTGAACCTCTCGGCTGTTATGTACAACGGAATCAGGCCATCGTTGAACTCATGATACACGTTCCCCGTGTATCCTCCCGTTGAGAACACAATCGCTGGTACGCTGTGATTGATGTCACATTTGCTTTCGTTAGTGATTGGGGTTGGATGGAGGGTGATTTCGTCGACTGTGTTCATTACCTCTGTCTCCCATTTTCTTGTATAAGGACGTATTTTTTCGTCATTAATGTTTCCGTCCTTTGTGCTGTGAAGTAAGATAGACGATGATTGAGCGTCGGTTCTTATATCGCCTTTCATGTAGCATACGTCTGTGCGTTGATGGCTGCGGTCACAACATAGAATCCCTTGATCATTTGCAGTGCTTGATGTAGTTATTCCTGCAATATACATGCGTATGTATCAAATTTGAGTTATGACACACTTGCGAAATAGTCGAGTTTTCAAATCAGAAATAAAAATTTCCAACTTACCATCAATGAGATTGGAACATGAAGATGGTGAAATTCTTCCCTCTTCACGGGCTTGAAGATGATTCTCGGGTGATGAAACATGAGTCCTCAAAAATTCTTTATCTTTGCTTGTTTCTGAAAAAGCTGCACCGCGAAAAGAAAAATTAATATGTCAGAAGGAAAATAGTACAAAAAAAAAAAGAAATTAATACCAAACTTAGACATTGAGAATTTGCTTACGAGTATCATCTACTTTTTGAACTAGAGGAGAACGAGAAGCTGAAGAAGTTGCAAGCTTTAAAACAGAGGTTGCGGCAGAAAGCATCAACAGAAGCAACAAACAATATCGAAAAAGAATATATTTTCTCGGTTGTATTTCAAATTGAGAAAGAGGGAGAGACTTGAGTTTAGACGAATGATGAGCCATTTCCTTGTTTCTCTCTATCAAAAGATAGAACCAGAAGAAGAAGAACAGAGGAGAAAGGGTTTTTATTTCTTGCAACGGCATCAACTTGTTAACGACAACTAAAATTGAGAAGGTCAACTAGAATTTAAAAATTATTGTCACATTTTCCATCTTGATGAATGATGCATCTACCCATTATGAGAAAAGGACGCGGGTCTCAAATAAGGTGGGCTCTATTGAAATTTTGATAAAGTTGATGGATTGTTGGTGGGCCACACCTTACTCGTTCTATGTAAAATTATATGTAAGCAAGTATAGAGGCAGATTGGTTGAATAATCATGAATATGGATGCATAAAGAATGTTGGAAACCTGCGGAAAATCCCAGATACGTTTCAAGAAGCTAAAATTACACATGTACCCCTGCTTTTTCTCATTTCTCCCCCCCCCCCCTTCGAAAGGTCGTCAATTCTTGCACTTTTGTCATCTTTCTTTACATTTGGAGAAAATATATCTAATTTTTAAAAATAACCAACGTTTTATTTCTTGATCTTGTTCAATGAATCAAACATTAAATTTTAAACAAATGGAGACGAATTACCACCTGATAGCTTAAGGTTGTATTAATATTGCAACTTTTCTACCGTGTGCTTTGAATCTATTAGGTTGGACGCAACTGAAGCAACGACAAATATTGCAATTGTAACAACAGTGTAAACATAAATTGTAGACATAGTTGTAATACTGTTGAGTTCAAATTTTTCTAATTCACGAAATATTTTAATAGAATAGAGTTAAAAAAAAGCCAAGTATTTTGGTGAGCCTTTTTGGTCAATTTGATAGGATTTGATTTTTGCTAGCTAGTTGATTGTAGCACGAAAATGAGTTGGATGCTTGCTGACCAGCTATATATTTTCCTTGGCTATGCTAATTCTCTTCCTAGCTAAACATAGAGATTAATAATGATTAATAAATGAATGAATAGCTCATCACCCAATGAATATTTTCTTTTAAAGCAAGTAGGTAAAATGATCACTGTACCAGCACACAGTAGCAAGACGTCCTACGTCATTGCCTCTTAATTATTCTCAGAAATTGTTAATAAAAAGATAATGGCTGATAATTAATATCAATTTTAAGGGAATCAAATCCGTGTATTGCATGGACAGCTGGTTTTTCTTGGTCAATTTTGAGCAGATAAGCCTCCTTATCAGAATTAGAGGAAGCTTGCAAGTGTAAGTAACATTTTTAATTTGATTAATAATTCGTGTGATAATCAATGAAAGCTTAGATTAGATGAAAGGTACTTTATTTCTTTTCTCTACAAGACGCTATGCTTACTTTTCTTATACAAGCAGCGTCCTCGATTACAAGGAAGCGTTTACCTTTTGTTAGGGCTGTCCAAATGGGCTTCAGGCCCAGGTCTGGTTAAGACCCGAAAAATCCATGTCGGTCAGGCACCGGGCCTGAATCCGGACCGAGTTGGTGAAGCTCGACCCAGGCCTGGCCTGTTGACCCTTTTGTTTTGATAATATTTTAACAAACAATTTACTACTAATGTTGTTTGTCTAGCGTTTGTGTTTTTGTATTTATTATAGACAACCAATAAGTTGGAGGATGGATGGAATTGCGTCATAACGATAATATCCAATGGAGGTTGGCGGAATAGTGGAGTGAAGCCATGCAATTCAAGTTGAAGATTTAAGTTCAAGCTTCATCCGCAAATTTACCAAGAAGAGCTTATTGAAGATCAAGATCATTGCTTAGGTAAATAGTTTAGGTTTTTATATTATGTATGTTAGTACTTTAAGCTCAATCATATACACGCATACATGTTTTGGTATATACACACACACACGTACGTTTTTGGTTTTATAGTTTACAAGTTTATATAAATATGAAACATATATTCTTGTTTATATATATATACATGTTTCATACTTATCATTTTGTCAAATGCATATTGTGCAAAACTTCATTTTTGCATATTATTGAGTTTTTGGTTTATAGACTTAACAACAATAGTTTATATCTTTCATTAAGTCTATAAAACTATTTTACAAAGTTTCAAAGTTTGGTTTATGTTAAAACATCAAATTTCAAGTATCTCATGTTTTCATATTTTGGACATATTTACAAAATGATGATATTTTATAAATGGGAGGTGATTTTTGAAAACCAGTTTTTGTAACATATGTATTATCATGTCTACAATAATTTCCCAAAGTTTCATAATTTTTAGAATTTGTTTGCTATTTTTAAAGGCAGTGTAAAAATAAAATTTATTGTTTTAATCAGGCTGATACAGTGTTATCAGTCGACTGATGAAAGTGTTCAGTCGACTGAAGAAATCGCCTGGAATAACAAAAAGTTTCTATTTTGTTTCGGTCGACTGACCAGTTGATTGATGAGGTCATCAGTCGACTGATAAGGTCGTCAGTCGACTGATGAGCTGGAAAATACCTCTAACGGTCAGCTCATCAGACGACTGATGAAAACCGTCAGTCGATTAATGCTGTAACGGCTAGTTTTTTTCAGTTTGTTCTAGTTTTGGGTTTTTGGTCTTTTTGTCTTGTTTTCTCTTGGCTTTGGGGTTCCTATAAATACTCCTCATACCTCAGACCAAAAACTATCTAAGAGAATGTTTTAAATAAGTTTTACAATGGTTTAAGTTTTGTTTAAAAGTGTTTAAAGTTTGTTCACAAGTTTGTGAAGAAATTTTAACAAGAGCTAGAAGAGATCATCCTTTGCTGTTTGAGCTTCAACTCATCTCTCTCTCTCTCTCTCTCTCTCTCTCTCTCTCTCTCTCTCTCTTGTTATTCATTGGAGAAGTTTTCTAAACTCAAATTCTAGCTTTACATTTATACACTTGTTTGATTATCATTGTTTTAAGCTAGATTTCATATTTGAGTTTAGTACTAGTTTCACTCATTGTTTACACACACCAACTTGAGCTTAAGTATTTTCATACATAGTATTATTGGGGTTGTGAGAGTTGTAACAATTGAGTGTGAGCCTACATAGAGTTCTCATCCATTGTAGAGAACAAATTTGTTGTATTTGTGCTTAATTTGTGAGTTCACTTTGTAATACACTTGTACACCGAGAGGAGTGTGTGGTGAGAGACATGATCGTCCCAAGAGGAGTGGGGTAGGTGATAATGCCTAGAGGTAGGTTGTAATTCCTAACACTTGAGGGAGACACGAGCTAGAGACCAATACTCAGAGGGTGTAGTGAGATTGCAAGAGTGTGGATTATAAAGTTTTCGGTGAACTAGAAAACTGAGTGTGAGGTGTAAATGTTATTCGGGTGAGCATAAAAAACCCGGTGTGATAGTGGATTTCTCCCCGGGAGTGGGGAACGGAGACGTAGGATGGAAGGTCCGAACTCAGTGATCATTTGATTGAGTTTGAGTTTGCTTTGGCGTTCGCTTATACTTGTGTTCATTGCTCATATCACCATTGTCTCATTATTTTGTTTGACCACTACATTGTTTACATTTGTTTATTTTACCCTTTGTTTATATTGATTATCCTTGCATATAATTGTTGCATATCTTATTTGCTAGGATAATTTGTTAATTAGTTTTAATTAGCATAAAATTGGATTAGATTAGCATAAATCCTATTCACCCCCCTCTAGGGTTCCTTTCTTAGTGGCATTAGGGTCTAACACGGCCCAGCCCGGTTTTTAATTTTATATATTACTAGTCGTGAACAACATGCATCAATTTTTTTTCTCGCTACAGTAATCCCGATTTTTAAATGCTACAGTGTTTTTAAAAAAAAATTAGTTGCTGCAGTTCCCGCCTCTGTTGCATTTTTAAAATGCTACAATATTCCCGTGTGCTACAGTGTTTTTTAAAATTGCTACAGCATCCAGTTCCCTGTTTGATGCAGTAGTAATGCTATAGTAAATGGTACTGTAGCATTACTGCATTATGAATAGTGAATCTTGAGTTCTCCTATTTGTATAGAGGAGTAGATATATATAGTCATTAATGTATACTTATATATATTTAAGTGTATATTATCATTAATGTATACTTAGCTATATATTTCTAATACATACTATATATAATTATAGTATGATATGGTCATTAATGTATATTAAACTATAATTATATATACTTACATATAATATATATCTATATACTAATATGTAAGTATATACTAATACATACTTATATAAATATAATAAGATTAATCTAATTTTTAATCAATTTTTAGCCAAAAAATACAGAAAAAAATTAGAGCGTGGCGCAGTTTGGCTCGGAGCCGGGCTTGCCCCGAGCACCCATTTTGCCCCAGAAATCCAGGCCAGGCCGACCCGTTTGGATAGCCCTACCTTTTCTACTTTTATTGGAACATGAATTGAATCAACCTTTTCCCAACCTCCCAAAACCTAAAAGATTGAGGGAAAAAGTTTTAAACTAATTAATTCATCAATTGAAAAGATTAAATTAGTTGCAATGTCAAGAATAACCATGTTCATCCTTGTGTTTTTCTTTGGTGTTTGGAAGAAGAAAATAATTGTTTGCTTTCTTTATATATAGAAATTATATATAGAAGTTATTGGTTGTTGTAATTTTAGGGTAAGTGAGATACTTTTTGGGACTTTACTTTATGGTGTTATTCATTGGGACAATGAGATTGAGATTTCAGTTTAATGTGTTATTCATTGAGATAATGAGATTGGAATAATTACCCTCACTTTTCTAAAAATTATCCCACTTCTATACAAACTTTTTGTCCCAACCTCCAAAAATTACCTCATTCTTAACTTTGGGACAATCACGAGGAAAGTGGGATAATTTTGAAACACTAATATATTATTTATCTAATATATATATTATAATATATAATATATCTTAATTATATTATATTATAAAATTCTATTATAACGTAAGATAATAAAATATTATATAATATTATCTAATATAATATTATTATATATCATTATTACATATTGGTTAATAATATTTCATATATTATAATATTATTTATTATATAATAATTTTCTATTTTCTATTTTCTATTATACTTTATTATATTAATTAATAGTCTTAAATATATTGTCAATATTATGGTAGTTATAATATTAAATAATATTTTATTACTGCAATAAAAATTATAATAAATTACTATATATCCCTGATAATATA